ATCATTGCAATGAAATGAAATACGATAGGGTGAATGTAAAGATAATGTTCTCCCATGTAAACTACCACATAATTCACAATAAAAACTTGAAATAAAAAAAGTAATTAAGACTATCAAGATGGTGACAGCAGAATATGAAACCAAGTGTGGGATCCCCTGAGCGTGGAGCTCTTACATGTGTGAAGCTGAAGCTGGCCCTGCACCTAGCCCAGGGTGGAACAAGTGCCTGCTCAGGAGAAAAAGCCTTGGTGGGGGTGTTTTAGGGTCTGTGTTTATATGAGATTGAATTAGATACGTTCGTGGATGGTGGGAAGCTATGATCTGTACTAAGTCTCAGTTGAAGAACAAAGGAGAAGTGCTCACAGCCCTCCGTGTGTATAAAACCCCTGGGCAGTGGCAGAATTCAGAGAAGACAGAACCTCAAGGGACTTCTAACCTACTTCAACTGTAATGGAATAAGGGGGACAGCAAGCAGGTTTTATTTCTCCTGCTCATTCTGACTTGGCAATGTTGGTAGACCATCTAATCATTAGAGTGGCCTGTGCCGTGCAATGAATTGTCTCCATTGTACACATGAGGTCATCGGAACTCAATGAGGTCCTTAATCCCCCACGGCATGTGGTCAAGCTGGGGTTGGAAGCCAGACAGTTTGGACCCACAGTCAAGTTCATGAGTGCACCATTGAACAAGTTGAATGTGCTTTGGGAGTGCCTGGCTGGTGAAAGTGGTTAAGCACTGAACTACTAACCAAAAGGTTGACAGTTCAAACCCACCTAGAGGTACCTGAGAAGAAAGGCCTGGTGAGCCACTTCCAAAAGAGGGCAGCCATTGAAAGCCCTATGGGACAGTACAACTCAAAGAAACATGGGGCTGCCAGGAGTCAGAATCAACTCATCCCACAAGTGGTTATGAGGCTTTCGAAATCTGTAAGCCATTGGCTTGGTGAGATCAAAAGGTTCGCAATGGGTCTGTTGATTTGAGGAGCTTAGAATCCTAGGGACCATGGAGGCTTGCTAAGGTGCAGTAGCAGCTACAAGCTTCAGCAGTAGAAAGGTGACAATGGTAATGGAGTAATGTCACCCCAATAATAGGAATGCAGGACAGACTACATCCCTAAGTAACTCAACCAGGAAAGTTACTTAGCTTGTCTCACAAGAACCAGGATTTGTCATACATACACGGCCATTTTCCAAAATGAATCCTCAGAGCAGAACCATTTGTCTAAATACTTTAATTAAAATGTATTGCAATATGAAAACCAGAGGATAAATACAGTGTTCATATGCACTAATTAAACAGATTAGGAAATCCTAGGTAGCTGAATATATATGGAAAATGAACTCCAATTAAATTTTGAATAGATCGTTGGTTTGAATTTTATTTAAAATATTTACGTAGTTAAGAAAGTTAACTTGCTATTCATTTTCTACCAAACTACAAGAAGTATCGAGGCACTGCAGTTGAGTAAAGATTCAAAATGCATAAACAAAAGCCGGTGCCAGCTGCAGAATTACAGAATTTCAGAGTTGTACCCTCTTTTACCTTGGCAACCAACCAGTCTAATTCAATTTACAGAATAATGCCAGTCTCAAATTCAATTGACCTAGCATCCAAGATTTGTGAAAGTATCAAATTTAATGAGATACCTTAGTGAAATTAAGACACTACTAATCTCATTTCAAAATTAATTTTTCCTCCAGAACAAGTCTTAGAAACCTCAAGAATCTATTGCTTTATATAATAAGCAGTATATCTTCAAGGGTTGATAGCTAAAAGAATAAGTACATTCATATAAAACATCCCTTATAAAATAGGATCTCACAGTGAAGGTGCTCATGGAACATTCTGCCATCTACTGAAGGACAATATTCTACTTTATAAGTATATCTGAAAAACTTGGTAAAGATAGAATTTTTTACTAGGCTTGAACATTGGAAGATAGAGTGCAAATATGGGAATGCTAAGTGGGATGGTCACACCCATCTGTCAGTCTGTCCTACTGTGATGTCTTGTGTGTTGCTGTGATGCTGGATGTTATGCTACCAGTATTTCAAATACCAGCAGGGTCATTCATAGTGGACAGGTTGTAGCAGAGTTTCCAGACTAAGAGAGAATGGGAAGAAAGACCTGGCTATCTAGTGGTGAAAATCAGCCCGTGAAAACCCTAGGTATCACAGCAGAGTATTACCTGATACTCTGGAAGGTGCTAGAAGACGAACCCCCCAGGTTGGAAGGCGCTACAACACCTACAACAATGGACTCAACCATCATGAAAATGGCCAGGGACCAGACAATGTTTCATGAGTTGCAGACCAACTAACAACTACACACGGGAATGATAAACGAAAAACAAATTTGCCAAATCCCCCAGTCTCTTAAAAAGCATTTATCAGTGATTTTTTTGTAGCAGCATTATTTTTAACAGCGGAGGATTAGAAATAACACAAACGCTCATCGGCGGGAGAGTGGTTAAATGCTAGGGTACCTGGTATGGTAATGCATGGTACAGCAGACTAGATTGCAGTCATAATAAAATACACACAGCTTTTATATACTGATAGGGACTTATCTCCAAAATAAAGTAAGTGAAAAGAACAGTAACTCTAGTATGTTACCATTTCTGTCAAAAAACAAAACAAAAATAACGGCAGGCCAACAGAACAGATTTCTTTGTGTAAGCAAAAACATCTCTCAAAGTACAAGAATGATATTGATATGGTGGCTGCTTCTAAGGAGACCCCAGGGAGGTTGTGGAGCAGAGGTGAGATCAGTTTTACTAGATACTCTTTTGTGCCTTTTAAATTTTGACTTATATAGCTGTATTACTATCTGTTAAAATAAATTAAGAAAATATTGTTAAAAGGATAAAATAATAATGTCAAACATCATTATATTCAATGTGATGCTTACACCCAGATCACATGACATGTCATGAACTGGATAAATCTGTTCTTAACCCGTAGATTTGGGGATGCTTAGATTCACCCAAGGAGCCCAGGTAGTGCTGTAGGATAAGCAGTGGACTGCTAATTAGAAGGTTGACAGTTCAAACCCACCAGATGAGGCTTTCTGCTCCCATAAAGATTTACAGCCTCAGAAACCCGGTACCAGATTGCTGTGAGTCTGAACCGACTCAGTGACACCTAACAACAGTCTAGCCTGAAGGAGACCTGGTGGTGAAATAGGGTAAGCACTTGACTGCTAACCAAAAGGCTGGGCAGTTTGGACCTACCCAGCGGCTCTGCTTCTGTAATGACAAACTTGGAAACTGTCACGTGGGCTTGTTACGCCTGGGAGTTTCCACATTGTTTCATTTTTCACAGTGGAAATTAACATTCTGCATTTAGTTGGATGAACAGACACACAGTCGCAAGGCTCAAAGGGCCTCTTCAGCAGTTCCCAATGTTCCTGGCAAGGACAGTCCTTTTATGGAAAATGGGATTCCAGGCCCTTTATGCTGCTTGTAGAAAGAAATGGCCCAACAGTAGATTTTATTTTTAATTACAGGCTCTCCCAAGAGCCATTTGGTATGCAAATAAAGCCCTTAATAAACATTCATAGAAGGAATGACCCTTCTTCAATTTCTTGAATCATAAAAGCAACATGACACGTGATGTGTGGAAACTTGGGGGTGCTTAAGTGGTGTCATCAGCAGTGAGATTTCATCTTCTAGGATTAATGGAAGTTGCTACCATCGTCTCTATAGTAACAGATGGATTTCTGCTGATGGGGAATGTGGCTTCTCTGGGTGTCTGGGGAAGCTGTGCCTTTGTGGCCGCCCCTGCCTGCAGGAAAACACCATTGAACCTTGTCTGAGATAAAGGCGCCTGACAACACAGAATGGAACAGTGGTCTGGGGAAGATAAAGAAATACCTGACTATCCTCACTAGGAGAACTAGTGGCACAATGGTTAAGTGCTTAGCTGCTACCCGAAAGGTTGAACCCACATATTGACTTTTGGGAGTAAGACCAGAAATCTACTAAAACCCTCTGAGGAAGGTCTACTCTGTTACTGGGGTTTCTATGAGTCCAAGTGAACACAGGATGTACCCCAACAACAACCATACCAATGAACACTACGTTCCTTAACGTGGCTACTTAGCATAGAAACACCATTCAAAGGTCAGGTCAGAAGTACCGTAATTCTCACAATTCCCATAAAGCCCTCTTTTCCGTTGTAAATGGCTTCTATCCTTGAGTGGAGATGGGTGTGTGTGTGTGATGGGGGACAAGTTCTGAGGGGGAAATCCATACATTAAATAATCCTTTACTTGGCTTCAAAATTTTTTGGAGCCCCATTCTATCTCCTGCCTATTGGTAAGCGCTGTCAAGTCAGTTGACTCAGAGACCCTGCATAGGGTTTCTGAGGAGCAGCTGGTGAGTTTGAACTACCGACCTTGTATTCAAACCAACTTGATAGTTGAGTGCTTATCCTACAGCGCCACACCAGGACTCTTATTTCCTGCTTAAGCTGTTGTTAAGTGCTGTCCAGTCGGTTATGACTCACAGTGACCCTGTATAGGGTTTCCGAGGAGCAGCTGGTGGGCTTGAACTGCCGACCTGGTGGTTCGCAGTCCGGTGCTGACCCTAAAGCACCACACCAGGACTCCGTCTCCTTCCCATTTGTTATGTGCCGTGGAGATGGTTCCGACTCATAGCGACCCTGTACAGGGTTTCCGAGGCTGTAAATCTTTACGGGAGCAGAAAGCCTCATCTTTCTCCCGCAGAACAGCTGGTAGTTTCGAACTGCTGATCGTCAGATTAGCAGCCGGATTCGTAACCACTAAGCTACCAGAGCTCCTTTCTCCTTCCCATAGATCTTTGAAAATAGAAAGTGAGTTTGTTCTTGGAAAGAATAAGCTGATTTCAAGGCCTGAGAGGCGGGTGTCAGGGCAGAGCTGTGGGTGGCGTGGCTACAGGGAGGGACCGAGGCCACTACTTCGGGAAGCCGCTTCTCCTGGACACTCATTCAACGCACGGGGCCAGGCTCCAGGCCACCTCACTCCTCTTTCTTCTCCTCGGGGATCTCCACCGACAGGATCTGCTCGCCAGTCTCTGGGCCAGGACTCATGTGGATCCTCACTGATGGCTCCTCAGGCTCGACCACCCTCGCCCCGTCACCCGCGGGTCTCCCCGGGGAGGCAGGTGGCGGAGGGCGCGGTGTCGGAGGATCCAGAGGCGCGGGCGCAAGGGGTACGGGCTGGTCTGGGGCGGCCTCAGCTGCGGCCGCGGGCTGGTCAGTGCCGTCTGAGCCTGTCTTTCCAGCGGCGTCTTCTGAACTTTTGCCCTGGAATCAGCAAAGGGAGATGTCGGGTGAGGCACGACAGAACGTTTAAAGAGTCTGCAGAGTCAAAGACCTTTTCTTGTCTCCTCCTCTTCCGCCCCCAAGTGGGCGGATGGCGGAGCACGCAGGGGATGAAGTTTAGTGGCCCAGAGCAGAACCACATGAGGGTTATTTGGTGAACTAGAATATGCTACCGTTATGTTTAAGGACTCAAAGTCCCAGCTGGGTTTGGTGAAAGGTCTTGGGAATATTTCAGATCCCTGTTGAGTTGTGGGCGCTGAAGCTGGGTAAAGTTGCCAATTCAAGGGAAGAGCTTCCTTTCCCAGGTGAAACCATTCAGTGCACAATCTGTGACCATGATGGGGGGGATACCATGGCTGAGCCGGCCTGCACTGCCCAGGGAAAGGCACTCTTACAATTAGTAAGAAAAAGTAAGCAAGCAAGGTAAAAGTGAGGAGGGGCAGCCTTTCTGGAAGATCTAAAACGCTGAGATATGGGACTGGTCACCACTGTGTGTTAGGCTGAACTGAGCCAAGGTTTGGAGACTGATGGATCTCTGGTCTACAGTACCTCCATAGACTTTGGCCATGGTCTGTGTATCAAGAGGGAATGGGTTAAAAACCAAGCCTTTGAGGACACATATGGCCTTCCTTGCTCTATCTGACCCCATCTCTGCAAACAAGAACCTTGGAGAGGGAACTGGTCCCCAAGTGAGGTCCAAGAGGTCCTCAACTGCGCAAGCCCCACCTGAGATGATGGGAGTGAATTTAAATGGGGCAGTCAAAGTGCTTATGAGGAATAGAGACCCCCTGAAGTTTGCTCCAATCATAGAATGTTGAGAGAAGAAGCAGAAGGTGGGAATGGGGCAAAGAAGTTCCTAGAACCCATTGCAGCCCTGGGAACCTGCCGCTCTCTTTGTCTTGGTATTTCTGCATCTTTTGATGTATCTGCTCCACTCTCCTCTGTTCACTTTTACCTCTGACCACCCACTTCCAGGGGGAAGCTAGGGAGGATGCCAAGTCGTGCTGAGTACAGGACTCCTGGGAGCATCAGGCTATATGCTGGGAACCAGAGCATCATGGGAAGTACTCTGCTATGTTGAAGATGCTTTTACAAGCAGGGCTCCTACTTGAACTTTCCAACTCTATGTGGCATCCATAAATAATCTGGGTCTCAAGAAGCATGATGAGCTTCCCTGTCCCAGAGCTGGCAGGTGCCAGAGCCAGGATCTGGGTCTAAGTGTTTGGATTTGAATTTAAGAGCTCCTTGTATTCATTCCGCCATTTTATCCCAGCCATTCTGAATGACAGGGAAATGTCTTTTATTAGAATGATTTTACCAATTGAATTCAAATCTCAAGGCTGCTCTCATGAAAAGTTAACACCTAGGAGCCACAGCCCCCTGTCAGAAAAAGACTTTTGCTGTACTGAGAACATTCTAGAGTCCTGTCCACTTTTTGACTTTCCCAGCCCCACCCATCAGCCAGCACTAAAGACCCTGTCCTTGACATTCAGTGTGCCAGGCAGGCATGGCTCCCTCCAAGGAACCACGAATGTCTTGGAATCTCTGATGGCTTTGATGTTACTCACCAGACTCCTGTTGTTAAATGCCCCCAGGATGGGCCTCCTGGGTTCAGCCTATATTGAGATTGAGTTCATCATGGCCAAACCCAGCCCCTCCCCACTGCCTTTCCCAGCAGCCTCCCTAAAGGACAGTCATGAATAGCTATAATTAGTACAATCATTCTAATTGGCATTCTTGGCTTTAGTTACAGGAAAGAAAAAAAAAAAAATCCCAGAATTAATTTTAAAATCCCTTTTAGATTTACAGGGGTGGGAGCAGACGTCTCTGTGCCTGTCTGCAGGGTTTCGCCTTTCAAATTTTAAAAATTGTCAGCGACACAATATTAAATATGAGCATGTCACTCTCATCTGAGGAAGGGTGTATGCTGCTCACAACCCACCGGGACTTCCTCTTTGAGGAGCTGTCCCTTCTAGAGTCTCAGTCTGAGAGTCAGCATGTAACCCAGACCTCTCCAGAGCACTGCATCCCTGTGACCACAGTAACTGGATTATCAACAGGTGTGTGATCCAATTCTGTCCAATGACAGTGAGCCCTGAGACTTCTGCCAGCCTCAGCGGGGAAGTACTTTCTAGGAGGAGATAATCATAGAGCTCTTGGGGACCAGCCTGGGAATGGTTCAGCACTGAGGAAACCAGAGATGAGGGAATGAGGAGACTGCTGGATCACTTGGGCCCCTGAATCCAGTCTTGCCTGAACTTTCAATTACTTAGCCCAATAAATGCCCTGTTTTCTTAAGCCGCTTTAGCCAAATGCACTCAGTCACTTGCAACCAAACAAATCCTGGCTGAGGTCAAGAAACCCACCCCAAACACAGACTGTCTAGCCCACTCTCTGGCACGTAACAGAAATGCACGGGGTGACTGCGTTCTCAGTCACACTACCTGTGATTGTTCCAGCAACTGTTGCTGTCTTGCAGCTGCCTCCTGTGCAGCCAGTTCCTTGAGCCGAGCCCTGAGGTGGGCAAGCTTGCCGCCTTTGGCCCCCTTGGCACGCATCATTCCTGCTGCAGCTAGGGCAGCACTGAAGAGTTTGGGGGTGCCCACCCGGAGTGGGAGGATGAGCACACTCTTCTGCTCTTTAGGTTTGTTGTTATTTCTCAGCATGCGCCTGAAAGAAAGCAATGTCTGCTTACACCACAAGCGCTCTTGGGGAGGGTGGGGGGGAAGTCTCATTTGTCTAGAACCCTTTAAGTTGGAGTTGTGTGGTGGGGGTGGTTAGTGACTAAGGATTTTTGGGTGTTTTTTGTGTGCAGAGTACAGTGCTAAATACTTAACACATAGACGATGGAGGGTGGTCTCTGTCACAGTTGATAAGAAACTGAGGCCATTACATTACATCTGCAGCCACAAAAGCGATGCTGCCAACAACTGTGTAAGCTTGGCGACAGATCCTTTTCAAGCTAGGACTTGCCATGAGACCCAGCTCTGGCTGACACCTTGATTCCAGCCTCAGAGAACATCCATCTGAGCCGTCCTCAGACTCCTAATCCACAAAAACACTGAGATAATAAATGTATGCTGTTAAAACTGCTAGATTTGCGGTAATACGGTTAGGCAGCAATCAATAATGAACACATACTTTATAGTTTCAGTCTCACTACAACCCTCATGGAGTTCCTGGGTAGTACAAATGGTTCATACTCTCAGTAACTAACAAAAAGGTTGGAAGTTCGAGTCCACCCAGAGGCACCTAAGAAGAAAAGTCTGTCAATCAACTTCTAAAAGATCAGCTATTGAAAATCCTGTGGAGCACAGTTTTCCTCTGATACACTGGTAGCGTAGTGGTTACGAATCGGGCTGCAAACCTTAAGGTCAGTGGTTCGAAATGACCAGCTGCTCCGCGGGAGAAAGAGCAGGCTTTCTACTCCCGTAAAGATTTACACCCTCGGAAACCCTGTACAGGGTCGCTATGGGTCGGAACCGACTCAACAGCACTTAACAACAACAACAACAACAAGTGGGACCACCAAGTGTCAGCATCAACTCAGTAGCAACAGCTTACTGTCTTCACTATTTTGCTTTCATTTCCAAATGAGGATATGGTGGTACAGAAGGGGTGAGTAACTTGTCTGAGGCCACACAGCTGGGATGTGGCAGAGTTGGAATTCAAATCCATGACTCTGACCCCAGAGCCTGAGAATTTACTGATAACAAAATAACATCTTGGTCATCATCTTCTCGAACGTTGACAACACCCCTTGAGAAGCAGAGGGTTGTGATTGTTGTATCTCTGACAGTCGGGGAACATGAGACTCAGGCTGCGTAGAGTAGAACATCCCAGCCCAGGTTGCTAGGAAGTGGCCAACGCAGAATTATAACCCTAATCTTCACAATGCATCACACCACCCTGCATCTCTAAGTAAGGATAGAACAAGGCCTCAGCAAGGGATTTTTTCCCGCTACACATCTGATGTGCGGTTTGGCTCAAGAACAAATGTGTTTCTCCTGCAATCTAGCGAGCCTAGACCGCTAATTGGCAATTCCATTCATCAGGGTTCCAGCGCAACTTGTTTGTTTAAAAATAAGGCCATTACTGGCTGCTTATCTAATCAGAGGCAAAGGGTTTAAATTGTGCGTATTGATATTAATTGCCCAAGACTTGCATCCTGGAGCTGGGGCTCCCACCGGGGATGCAGACATGATCATTCATCAGAGGCCTGTCTCACGCCTGGTACTGTCACCTGTGTCATTTGAATCCATAATTCACAGGCTGACAGTCCTCAGGAAGGCACAGCACGGCACTCAAATGACACAAAAGAACCATCTCAAGGCCCTTCGCTGACTGCTAATGCTGGCTCTGTGTTAAAATATTGAGCAGCTTCCCAGACATTTTCAGATAAGGAAATCCACCCCCATTTTCAGATGCGGCTTGGCCCTATGGTGCAAGTGGTTCACAAATTGGTTGTTAGTGGCTTGAGCCCATCTAGAGGCTCTGCAGAAGAAAGGCCTGGCCATCTGCTTCCCTAAAGACCTTCCGGAGCAGTTCTTCTCTATAACACACGGCGTTGCCATGAGTTGAAATTGACTTGACAGCAATTGGTTTAACTGCTTTCTTTTTTTTTGCCCCAGGAAACACTGGCATTTTTTCCAGTTTCAACCTCTTTTCTTGGATTCAAACTAGAATAGTGAGCATTTCACTGCTTCGGGGCCTCAGGTAACCCCTCTATGGAATAGGGAGCTTGGACAGATCTCACCAACACAAATGTCCTGGGCCCAGAGATGGATAGAGTGTGACTATAGCCTCGACCTCTCTCCTCGGCTTGCTTGTCTAGGGAGCCAGTCACCCTGAGGGACTATGCCACAGCCACCCGCTGTGCCTCCAGCATCTCCATGCTGCTAAGTGCAGCCCCCAATCCTCTCAGCCTTCTCCACGGGCACTGCCAAGCAGCAGGCACCCCTGAACTGCCATCAGGGAGGCCTCTGAGGACCTCAGCTGATTTGCTAGACCCTCACACTAACCAAGCTGGAGGGATAGGATGACAGCCCAATGTGGCCTTCCTGAGCCTTGCTCTTCTCACAGGGAGGAGGGAGAGAGTACGGGGAGTCTCAGACAAATGCTTTCCAGTCCCTCAGAAGAGTAAGGATGACATGGCCGGGGGACGTGGGCAAATTTTGTGTAAAGTTCAGTGACTAGCCTTGTGAAGGGCCCAGTGGCTTCCCTGGGGTCCCTGAGCAGTACAAATGGTTCCCACACTTGGCTGCTAACCAAAAGGTTGGCGGTTCTACCCAACCCAGCAGCACCTCAGAAGAAAGGTCTGGTGATCTACATCCAAGCAATCAGCCACTGAGAACTCTGCAGAGCCCACTTTTACTGTGAAACACACATGGGATCATCATGAGTCAGAGTTGGCTTGACAGCATCTGGGTTACTCTTCAAAGGCGCCAAAGTCATTAAGGATAGAAAAAGGCTGAGAAACCAACCCAGATGAAAGGAGATTTAAGATACACATTGATGTCATGTGGGATCCTAGATTTGATTCAGGAATGGAAAAGATAACAAGAAGAGCTTTAAAAGACACTATTGGGAGAACCAGTGAAATTGGTCTATGGACTTGACGTCGTTATTGTGCGCTGTTGATTTAGTTCTGACTCATAGCAACCCTATAGAGGGTTTCCAAGGAGTGGCTGGTGGGTTTGAACTGCCAACCTTGTAAGCAGTCCAGTGTTTATCCTACAGGACTACAGATGAGATAATAGTATTGTCTCAATATAGAATATCCTGATTTTCACAAAAATACTGTGATTGTATATAAGGAAGTCTTTGTTCTTTGGAAACACACACTGAGGAAAACATGAAAAATTTCAATGAAAAACAAATAAGCAATGAATTACCTGGCCTTCTTCCGGAGTAACTTCTGAGACTCAGGATAGTGCACCAAAATTTCATTCAGGTCCTTCTTATCCAGGATGAAGAGGTTGGTAAACCCGTGAGCCACCACATTGGCTGTGCGCCGATTCCCACCCCCAATAGCCAGCAAGCTGGGTCAGAGAAGGGAGAGACGTTAGACTGCCTGGACGCTTCAGTTTTGATGGTTTTAAAACCTTCATCATCCCCACTGCGTTGAGCGGGATGGTGGCCCACCCCGAGGATGTGGGCTTGTCCACTGGCCATTTTGCCACCCTCACATCAACCCCTGCTGTCTGACCTTATTTCTCCAAACACGGAGCCAGCCTTCAGCATCACCAGCACGGTCTTGCCATCGGGGCCGCCCAGGACCTGCACCTGGCCGGCCTGGATGATGTACATCTCACGGCCGATCTCCCCCTAGAACAGAGAGGGGTTTGTTCCTTTTCCCATCCCCTACCCCCAGAGAAACAGCAAGGGTTGGGCCCACCGCAAGGAGGAGCCTGGGTCTGATCCTGGCCCTGACACCCACCTGATATCCCTTCATGGCCTCAGCCTCCCCATCTGTGGATTGGGGAGAGTGGTCACTCCCTGCCCTGCCTAACTGACAGGTTTCGGATGAGGATTAAGTGGTGTCATGGCAGGAAAATGTTTGGAAGCTTGGGAGGGATCCTGCCAATTCTCCATCATACACATGGATGGAGGGCCTACAGCAGGAAAATCTAACAGTGGTTCAAACTCATATATATGCCTAGAGCGTACCAGGAGCTCATATAATTTCATATATCTGCCTCACACATATCAGGAGCTCAGTAAGCATCTACTACCTAAGAGTGATAATAAGATCCAAAAGTAAGACCGAGGCAGAACCAGGACTTGAACTCAGAATATTTGGTTCTAAGCACTCATGCTCTCAGCCTGATGTTGTTAGGGATCATCGAGTTGTTCCCAACTCATAGTGACCCCATGTAGAAGAGTAGAACTACCTGGTGTGGCACTATAAGATAAGCACTGGACTGCTAACAACAAGGTCAAAAGTTCAAACCCACCAGCCACTCCTTAGAAACCGTATGGTGATGGTGGTGATGTGCCGTGAAGTCAGTTCCAACTCATAGTGACCCTGTCTAGGGTTTCCAAGGCTGTAAATCTTTATAGGAGTGGAAAGCCTCATCTTTCTCCCACTGAGTGACTGGTAAATTTGAACTGCTGACCTTGCAGTTAGCAGCCTTGCTTGTAATCCACTTTGCTGCCAGTGCTCCTTTGGAAATCCTATACAGGGTCACTAGGAGTCAGAACTTAGTCGGCAGCCCTATTGGGTTTTCTTGGCTGTCATCTTTAGGGAAACTGATTGCACGTTAAGTGTTGTACCACCAGGCTCCTCTCCCACTCCTGAACTAAATCAAAGAAAGAAGGCGAAAGCATTTAGCTTTGAACTGCAATGCCCCTTGGCTGTGGACCTTCCCACCCTGTTCTTGTTCATACTCCTCACTTCTCTTTTCTGTAAAGTGGGCATCCTCATCTTGGACCTCTACAGTCCCATGTCTTAGGGGAATGCTCTGCAAAGCATAAGGCACATCTGTGTTTCCTACCTGGAGCCTTGGAATCACGCCCACACTGGGAGCTCTCAGCTCCTGGAAAAGTGGCCAAGTCCTAAATCCCAGACCACATCCACAGTCTCCTCCAGGAGCTTACCTTTTTACACACGTAGTCATTGGGCAGGTAGACAACAGAGCGGAGCCTCTTCAGCATGTCAAAGATCATCTGCCGGTCACAGCCCTGCCCCAGAGAGGAGGGGAAGGAGCCCCGTGTAAAGGCAGGTGTGGCTGAAGGGAGTCCTGAGGGGAAGGGACGCTGGGAGCACCATACCTGGAAGAGCGCCACCTTGCTGACAATGTCGTAGTTCACATCGATGGCGAGGTCCAGCCGCATCATTTCTGGAAGCTGCACCATCAGCTCGGACTCATCTGCAAACCAGACCCTGGACTTTTCAGAAGGCCAGACCCTTGCCCCAGTAGACACTGAGCTGACCAGTTATGGTCATACATTGTCCAGCCACATGGACCCCACCCAGTCTATCTGTCTAAAGCACCTCTGTGTACTTTCTTAACTCCTACTCATTGTTGTTGTTGTTGTTAGGTGCCATCAAGTCGGTACTGACGCATAGTAACCCTATACACAGCAGAACAGAACACTGTTAAGAAAGTACAGACAGGTGAAGCTTTCTGTCCCTGTACAGATTTCCAGCCTTGGGAACCCTATGTAGAGCTGCTATGAGCCGGAACCGACTCCACGGCACACCATCACCACCACTCATTGTTAAGGGCTCAGCACAAATGTCACCCCATCCAGGAAACTTTCCCTGGACATTCCCCCCACCCACCCACCCTCTATGTCAGTTCTGTTCTGCAGCAAAGCAAGAACTACTGTGTAGCTGGGAGTCACTGGTGCTACAGTAATGTGTTCTACTGCTAACTGAAAGACCGGTGATTCGAGGCTGCCTAGAGGCACCTCAAAACAAAGTCTGATGATCTACGTCTGAACATCAGCTGCTGAAAAGTCAATGACGTGCAGTTCTACTCTGACACACAAGGGGTCTCCGTGAGTCAGAACTGGCCCTTCTACTGGATTCTAGTACTTGCTGTGTTCTAGGCTCTGTTTTAGTGTTGTAGTCAATCCTCACAGCAGCCCGAGGTGTACACGGCTATAGTCCCTATCTGACAGATGAGGCAAAAGGGCTGTAGTTTTCCAGGAGGAATGGAATCAGGAGCCCACCAAAGCTGTGTGGTTCCAGGAAAGCAGGTGCTGTATTGGCTTTGCCCACCCTGGGGTCAGCATGCCCGGTGGAGAGTGGTTGTTTATCCAGCTCGTGAGGAAGAGGCTGCAGCTCCCAGGGTTTGGGGCATAGCTGCATCAACCCTGCTCTGGAACCCTAGTAGCAATAGTTTTAGACTGCAAGGTTGGTGGTTCAAGCTCACCAGCTGCTCCTCGGAAACCCTATACAGGGTCGCTATGAGTGGAACTGACTCGATGGTACTTAACAACAACAACAAATGTGTGGTGTATGTGTGTGTGTGTGTGTGTGGAAAGAGAGTGAGTTACGTCTTGGCTGCTAACTGCAAGGTTGCAGGTTCAAGTCCACCAACATTGCCTAGAAAGAAAGTCCTGGCAAACCACTTTTGGAAAACCAGCCATTAAAAACCCAGTGGAGTTCTCCCATGTAAACTATCACATAATTCACAATAAAACATTAATAATAATAAAAAAGATTATTTTAAATGGGGGAGAGGGACTAATAAAATTCAGGGTAACCTAAAAGAAAATGAATATACCTTCACATCAAAATCATAAAGATTTAGTAAACTTTAAAGTAAAAAAACAAACAAAACAAAACAAAACCCAGGGGAGCACAGTTCTGCTGTAACTCCACACAGAGCTGGACCATGAATCGGAATGGGCTCCACAGCTTTCATTGACTGAGAGTCTTCCTTTATCCCGATTTTAAATTGCATTGTGAATGAGGATTCAATTCAGCCTGGGTGAACTGAGATGGGCAGGGCATCCAGAAGACGGTCCCCTCAACTCTTCAGGGATCATGTGGGCCCTCCAAGCCTCCTAGATGTCCCTCACATAAATGTTGTAAACAAGAGAAATCCCAGCCCTTGGATGACACACAGGATGAGGGAGGAAGGAGCCTGGGAAGAGAGAGAGCACTGAACAGCAAGCGTTGGGCCCACCAGAAGAGCTGGTGGTAGCCGGGGCGCAACCAGTCTTACCCAGCATGCCTTGGGAGTGCCAGGTGTACTCGTACCAGGTCTTGACGCGATTCTGCACAGACCTGGGGATCTTGTAGAAGTTCATGTACTTGACAGTGCTGTCCATGCAGCTGCGGTAGTAGGTCTGTCCTGCGGTGGCAGCCCCCACCACGTCTCTCATCTAGGGACATCATTGGGGGTGTCAAGGAAGCTTCCAGAACTACAAAACACGTTCCTTGGATGTGCATCACACACACACGTACTTTACACAGGCTCGCAGAGAGGGACCCACATTCACACACAGAGAAGGTTTGATGGGGATGTAGGCTGAGGAAGAATGAGGCGGCTGGTCTCTCTGGCAGCCTCAGTTCCCTTGGGCACTGGGCTGGGCAGGTTCTGGTACAATGTGGCTCACAATGCCAGCCAACCGCTAGTCTGGCCTCACATTAGATAACATGTCAACCAGGTGAACTGTTCCTCAGGGTAGGGTCCTTCCAGGTAATTCTGAGAACACTTGGTTGTCACCTCTCACACTGGCTGGAACACAAGATGCCCCTCCATCTTGCCACCCCACCCCACCAGTACATTAGAAACCACCCAGGGGTTTCTTCAACGGAAACATCTATTCCTCAGCCTGGGAAGAAGTCATTCAACCCAAGTCTCCCAACATCACAAAGGGACTAACTCTCAAATGGGAAGAGACTTCCAGCCTGGTGACCCAGTTACCTGTCCAATCATCACGGAGAAAGCAAAGACGCCTGTGAAGTAGTTCAGCAGCTGGAAGACAATTTCGAAGAGTGTCTGTGGGTCAGGCAGCCCTCCAATGGTGATGAGGGTCTTCACAGCCCAGTAATAACAGCGAACATAACTGGAGAGAGGAATGACAGAGCCATCACAGGCATCACCTTGGATGGCCTGGCTGGAATACTTCCCATAGGTTCATGTGTGCAACAGAGAAACCCTCGGTGGCTCACGAAGGCCAGAAGCCAACCTCCACGTGTGCACAGCACTTTACAGTTTGCAAATTGCTGTCTGGTTTAATTGTGGCTCTACCCCAACCCTGCAAGGACATGTGGTCATCCCCACTGACAGGTGTGAAAAGTTGCCAGAAGGATGAAATGGAGTCTTTGGTCTACCCTATCAAAGAGGAAATATTCATTCAATTTCTGCAATCATTCCTTTGCTGCCTGCCATCATGTTGGATCATTGAAAGCAAGGAAATCCAGCATCAAGATTGGAAGGTATTATCCCTCTTACCCACCTATTTTTCAGGTAGTGAAACTGAGGCCCCAAAGGGAAAGGGAACCCATAGTCATCTGCTGGCCAGTTCCAAAGCTTGGAACAGAACCCAGGGCACTGTCTGCGTCTATGAACTGTCACCTATGATTTGTAAACACTCCAATAGAGACAGGTGGATCATTGGATGGGAGTATATATATTGGGGTCCCACTCGGAAGTAAAGGCATGGAAGTGCCCCAAGCTTATTGAAGCAACCAGAGTCCCACATATGCCTGTCCACATCTTCAGGCTGTGTTTCCCAGGGATCACAAGAGGACGGAGACACAGGACCTAGACTGGCCAGTCCTGGCTGACTTTTCTGTGCCTTCCTGACCCTCTTGCACCCAGGTGCATAGGAACCATCTGGAGCCCACCCTGATTCACCCATGTCCCAGGGTCCTCACTCAGCTCTGAAATCAAGACCATCATTCAGCTGGCAAATACTCTGGTCTGAGAATGACCCTGAGCCCACCCTTTCCTGGGCTCTGTTCACCAGTTTATACAGCATTGTGGTTACAGCATGGGCTCTGGGGGACAGATCCAGCTCTGTGCATTCTAGCTGCATAGCCTGGACACATTACTAACCTCTCCGAGCCTCACTTTCCTTCTCTGTAAAATACAGGTGGCACATTTTGGGCCCTAAGTCAGTGCCTTCATCATCTGGTGCCTGCCATTTGCCTAAAGTGGGGTTAGAACAGACTTGCCTGTGTCCTCATGAAGGGCACCAGTTGATGGGGACAGGCAAGTAAATGTGCAATGCACACTGGGAGGAGGAGGCCGAGATTTCTGGGAGGTATGGTGGGGGATTCTGTCTTGGACAGCTCTGGGTCTCTGCATCTCCCCAGCCAAGCCAAGCCAAACCAAGCTCACAGTCATCCTGGTCCTAACCACCAGAGGGCGCCAGATGGCTAGGTCCCAAACCCCTTAATTGTTAACTGCATCTAGTCAGTTCCAATCCATAGCGACCCTGTATAGGGTTTCTGAGGAGTAGCTGGTGAGCTTGAACTGCCAACCTTGCAGTTCAAATGGCTTTGCAGTCTGGCGCATTAACCCACAGCGCCTCACCGGGACTTTATTCTCCTGGAAGTGGATGTTCTTGACACTGGGCCAGGAACAGGGAGAAGACCCAGGATGCATGTCCAAAAAAATTCCATCTTTATCCCAAACCCTTCTGGGCAGAGCAGAGGACTAGACCACTGGCATGGCACTTCTTAGGGGCTTCCAAGAGGTTCTCGTGTCTCCCCAACCCTCCACGGCCCAACCTGGGCAGAAGCAGAATGGGAGAGCTACCGGACAGAAGGAAGGAACTCAGGTCCTCAAGCCCACACAGTTGTTGTTGTTGTTGTTAAGTGCCGTTGAGTCGGTTCCAACACATAGCGACCCTGTACAGGGTTTCCGAGGGTGTAAATCTTTACGGGAGTAGAAAGCCTGATCTTTCTCCCGCGGAGCAGCTGGTAGTTTCGAACTGCTGACCTTAAGGTTCGCAGCCCGATTCGTAACCACTACGCTACCAGAGCACTTAATAAATGGTTAGCTGTTTTGGAAGTGACTGTTTTTACTATTAACCATGATGTTGGATTCTTGAGGAATCTCACTGGACAATGCTGCTTAAGAGTGTAATGCTCCAATTCATATGAACTTGGGGAATCCTCTTGGCAACCTGGCCCCCGCTTATCTTCCCACTCACTTCTACACAGCACATCCCTCTAGCCACTCAGGACTGCTCCTGTTCCCACCCCCAGGGATTCTCTGATCTTGCTCTCCACCAATCAAGGCCAAGATCAAACTTAAGTCATCAGGCAGAGTTCACCACACCCACACCCCTTCTCCACTCCCTCCACAGCAGAGACACCGAGCTGACACCTCTTTTATTTCTAATGGAGGCAGATGAAACAATGGTTAAGAGACTGTAGCCCTACTGTGCTTCCTGGGTTCAAGTCCCAGCTGTAAGACTTTGAAAAGTCACTTCATATCCTTTACCTCATCAGTAAAATGAGGCTACAAACAGAATTTACCTTGTGCCCTTGGGTGGTCCAAATAGTAACTACACTTGGCTGCTAACTAAAAGCTTGGCCAGTGTGTACACAGAGATGCCTCAAAAGAATGTTCTGGTAATATACTTCCTCAAACTCTGCCATTAAAAACCCGCTAGAGCCCATTTCTGCTATGCCACCCATGGGGTCACCATGAGACAGAATTGACTCAACAGGAACTGGTTTGTATGTGATTGTCACTTCGCCAAATGCTTAGAACAGAACCAGCACATAGAGTACTCTCTGATGCTTGCCGCTATTGCTATTAGTATTACTGTCATCGCTGTCATCATCGTAACTATTTCAGCATGGCCCATACCATATGCAGCTCTCTGGATTGGGCACAGAGGTTTCCCCTTGTTTGTGAGCTCCTTAATTGTTAGTGATGTCTGGGAGGCTGCATTGTCAGATTCTGTGTCTCATTCCCATTCAGCCATCCATGTGGAGTGGAGGCATGTGCACAGACATACAGGATACTTGCGAACACTGCTAGACTTTGGGATGCTGAAAAGATCTTTCTAAAAAGGGTTTTCATGTATACACGCCCCTCTGTCCAGCCGAGCCTGGCACATGGCAGGTGCTCAGGAAACATCAGCTTAAGTGAAGACTTGGAGACATATTTTTGAATGTTATCATGTTGGTGATGTCTGGTAACAAGGCAATTTCAGCAACAGGGTGGCAACAAGTCGTCTTTGTACTGTGAGTGCTAAAGAGCAGGACTGTCGCCCAGGAGGAAGGCTGTGGCTCACCTGTTGCCCACGCCATCGTAAGTCCAGTGAGTGGAACCAATGCCCTGATAGTCAGACGCCCAGTAATACAGACAGGAGTTCAGGTGTAAACTGTAAAGCAGGTACGCGGTGGTCCTTATGACCCTGTGGATAAAGAAAAGGTGTGACCACAGCAACACAAAAGGTGGTGGTGACATCTTACCTAGCGGCCAGCCCACCACCACCTCTATCATGCCCACCGCAGAGATGGCCCTGCTAGAACTGTGTGGCCTCGTCCAGCTGCCTGGCAAGGTGGACATCCAGCCAATGGTGCATTCAGTGGAGGTCAATTGGATGCCCTTTTGAGGCTATGCCAACCAGGGATGGTGGCAATAGAAAGGAGAGTTGTCGAGTCTTGGAGCCAGAATTGGCATGGGGGTAGCAGAGCCATTTGTGCACTAGTTTTGGGGGAGTGTGTCCTTGGGGAGGAGTCTGGCAGGGACAGATGAAGGCTGTCATCCCAGGAGAGATATGGAGAGGAGTCTTGTTCTCCAGGTGTGGCCTGACTGGTGGACTTCTGTGAGTCAGCCCAATGTGCCCTTATAACCATTCCCCTAGGTCTAAGCAAGGCTAGGGGGCTCAGTGTCTTGGGTGGAGACAAAAGGAGGCCCAGCTCCTGGAATGTTGGTGAGACACACGTGCTACCTATGTGTAGCCTCATCACAATTGGGGGAAATAGGACATTCCTGGTTCTCTGCAACACAAACATCCTTTTGGAGAAAAGGTTAGGCCAGGAAAAGGCCTAGCTTCCGGTGGGGAGGAGGTCTAGAGGGCAGGGAACTGGAAGGGAGAAACAACAGAGAAGAGGATGGCAGCCTCCAATCTTGCTGCAAAGGCTTCAGGTCCCGTTTGTGTGCATGGGTGTGCATGTATGTGCACACACGTGTGTGTAGGGACGTCTCACCTGTAAACGTAGGCTTTGCTGAGGATGGCTTCCAGACGGCTGTTAAATTCGAAGAAGGCCATGTACTGGAGGAAGAGCAAAGTGTCAGGGCAGTCGTCTGTGGGTGACAGGCTGCCCTCCCTCCCAGACCCAGGCCCTGCGGATGGTGAGACTGAAGGCCCCAGAGAGGAGGGAGTTGGCTTGTGAATATTCCAAACCAGAGATCCTTAATGCTTTGGAGTCAGTGTCAGAAACTGCACTCATGAATCTGATGAGTCCCTTACAGACTGCACACCATCTTTTTCTCACAAATTACCTATCATCTCAGAGGCTCCTATTAACTCTGACTCCCAGCATGCAACTGGGAGGTGCATGTGCCCCAGATAAAGGACCCTATGGTAAGTCTTTACTTTAAAAGGAAGGCAATTAAAAAAATAATAGAAAGAAAACATGATTATTAAGGGAAAAGCACATACAGGCCTTCCTGAGGCTACAAAAGTTTGACTTACAAACATCTCCTTCTTGCCCTCTAATGCTGGGCTTCGAATCAGTTCTGTTGTGGCCAATGAAGACAAACAGGAACAGACCTAAATTCTTACAATTTGGATGATTTGTCATGGTAACAGGAGCAAAGAAAATGTATGGGTTGAGGTCCTAGAATGGGAGACTGTGAGGGTCTTGGCAGGGTTGTGGGGAGCAGATTCAAGAGGCGTGGCCGGCCACCATCTTTAAATGTCTAGGTCATGACTTGAACTGAGGACAACCCCTTGGGAAGCCTGCTTTGAAAGAACTAAACAAATCCCTTTGTTGTTGTTGTTGCGAAGTGCCATTGAGTCAGTTCCAATAAATACGGACCATGTGTAGGGTTTCTGAGGAGCGGATGGTGGGTTTGAACTGCCAACCTTGTGGTTAGCAGTCCAGTGAGCATGGGTAGCTTCTAAATCACAGAAAAATGTTCAAGCCAAAAAAAAGACAGTTTTATAAAGAAAAAGCAACCTTCACCCCACTGACCTATATCTTTCAAAACTGTATTTATAATAGTAATAAAACTAAATCGAGCCAAACCCATGACTGGTGGGTCCGTTCTGACACATGGCAGCTCCACGTGTTACAGAGGGGAACTGCTCCAAAGGGTTTTTCTTTCTTTCCTCTTTGTTTTTTTCTGGAAATACCATGTGCTGTAGACTTTTTTTCACCCCCTAAACACTTCTGACTGTGAATTAACTGAAGGTTTACAGATCAGATCATCAGTTCTACATCCAACAAATCTTGTACTTCATTACATGTTAATAATCCACAGGGTTTTCTGGCTGCACTTCTTTCAAGACAAAATTGTTTGTTTTTCTGGCAGTCCATGGCACTTTCAATAAATATTCTTTGCCAACATCATAACTCAAACACATTGATTCTTCTACAATTTTCTTTATTCGTTATCCAACTTTCACATGCATACGAGGCAATTGAAAATACCATGGCTTGGGTCTTTCACACCTTAGTCCTCAAACTGACATCTTTGCTCTTTAACACTTTAATGAGGTCTTTGGCAGCAGGTTTACCTAATGCAATATATAGTTTTTTGACTGATATTTCCATGAATATTGATTGTGGAGCCAAGTAAAATGAAGTCTTTGGTGACATCAATCTTTTATCTGTTTATCATAATGTTATATGTGGACTAGTTTTGAGGATTTCTGTTGTCTTTATATTGAGGTGCAATCCATACTGAAGATTTTCATCAGTAAGTATTCCAAGTACTCGTCACTTGCAGCAAGGAAGATTGTGTCTTCTGCATATCGCAGGTTGCTAATGAGTCTTCCTCCAATCCTGATGTCACAGTCTTCTTCATTCCATCTAACTTCTCAAATTATTCACAAATACCTGGAAAACACCTTCCTGGTTTAAAACCATTCAGTATCCCCTTGTTCTGTTCAAAGGAGTGCTTTTTTGGTCAATGGACAGTTTACTCATGAGCACAATGAAATATTCTGGAATTCCTATTCTTCTCAATGTTATCCATAATTTGTTACAATCTACACAGTCAGATGCTTTTATATAGTCAGTAAAGCACAAGTAAACATCTTTATTCTGCTGCACAAGACCACTTTAAAGTGTTAAAGAGCAAAGCTATCAGTTTGAGGACTAAGGTGTGCCTGACCCAAGTCATGGTATTTTCAATAGTCTCATATGCATGTGAAAGTTGAACAATGAATAGGGAAGACCATAGAAAAATAGATGCATTCGAGTTATGGTGTTGGAGAAGAATATTAAAAGTATCAAAAACTGCCAGAAGAACAAACAAATCTGTCTTGGAAGAAGTGCAGCCAGAATTCTCCTTAGAAGCCAGGATGGTGCACATTTCATTATAATACTTGACTTTCTCTTCCCAAGCTGCCCTTCGAAAATTTTCAGGTCATACCTTTTACATCACTGTTTCTTCCATTTGCTTTAGTTACTGTACATTCAAGAACAATCTGTTTCTGTAAAGGTTGTTGCTATGTTGCTAACTGCTGTCGAGTCAGTTCTGACTCACAGCGACCCTGTATAAGGTTTCTGAGGAGCAGCTGGTAGGTTTGAACAGATAACCTTGCAGTTAATCCTAGAGGTCACACCAGGAGTCCATAAAAGTTACAGCCAAGAAAACCCCACACAGCCTTTTGCTCTGCAACACGTGAGGTTGCTATGAGTCAGGGGCAACTCAGTGGCAGCTAACAACAACAAAATCTCTCTTGAGGGTCTCTATAATGACTGAAAACAGTGCGTATGGAGACTGACTGCTGTGTTCAAATCTGGACTCTTTTCTACCTGTGTGACCTTGGGAAAGTCACTTAACCTCTCTGTTCCTTATTTGTAGATGGTGGCAACAAGAACAGTAACCTCATGGGTTGACAAGTAAAAGCATTTGTGAAGTCTATGGAACAATGCCTAACACATAGGGCCACAGGATGCCAGCGATTGTAATGAGCTTCCCTCTAAGACACACGTGGGACAAAAGTCTCTGCCCTCACAGAGGTCACCTCCTCCAGTGGGAGCAATAAGAAGGGAGGGCTAGCACAGAGCTGGAGTATCACATCAGTACTATGAGACGGGAACTCTTACTGTCCCCATTATACAGATGAGGCTCAGAGAGGCAATTAGGCCATTGTAGTGGAGCTGGAACCTGAACCGGCTCCATCTTCACTGGAGGCCATTCTCTGCAATCACTTTTCCCCAAGCCTATAAGTCTTACCTTTAAGCATCGGGGAAAGCGAAATAGGGGATTCACACCAAATTTCAAGTAGAGAAGGTCCAAGGGCAGGAGGCATAGCAGGTCCATCTGGAATCCCAATGTAACACCACATGCATAAGCAGGTGAGGGAGGGGATGTCTGCCTTCATTGGAAAGGTGAGGATGAAGTGCCCCGGGAACGAGAGGGCAGAAGGTCCCCCACCAACAAGCCCCTGCAGTGCCTTCAAAGCCCACATTTCCAACCCAATGAAGGGCAGCTTCATTACCAGGGACAATGGCTCTGTGGCCTGTGGGGGCAGCTGGAGAGGCTCAGAAATACCAAGAGGGCCCTCAGAGGGCCACCAGCCGTTGCCAATGTCCTGGGACCTAAGAACTGGGGGGCACTGCCAAGGGAAAGGAAGCAGCAACCCCTGTGTGGAGGAATCTTGTAACTCTGGTCCCCAGAGCTCCCAGGGGTGGGAGCTGCCACTTTCTGAGACCCAAAGCTGAAAACATGGGACATACACACCTTGAATCGGCGAGATTTCAAGTAGTTATTCCGCATCTCCTTCTTGTCCGTCTGGAAGAAAATGGAATCTGATGGTGAAATGGCCTTGGAGCCAAGTTCTTGACCTTACATGGAGCAGAGATGGAAACCTCTGCTGATCCCCAGCCCAGCCTTCCTGTGGAGGCCTACTGGACCAGTGAGGGGCCTGTGAAAACCATGCAGTTCACAAGTGGGAAAATGGGCTTGGGTGGAACTTGAGGATATTAAGCACGATGGCTTTGACCTTTTGCAACTTTACTGACTTAGAAGTGGGCAACTGCTCTGCCCAGGCCAGGAAAGAGGTTGCACATAGAATTCTCCCTGTTCTAAATTGTCCTAGAAGCCAAACCTCTGTTTCCCAGAACACAGCAGAGCAGGTGGCACCCGTGTGGGAGTTTGGAAAATGACCCATGCAGGGAGGCAGGCCTGTGTCTCCTGCTTCAGACAGTTAGGGTCCCAGTTTCCTCCCTGGTAAGTAGGGGCTGGACCAGAACACAGGGTCTCAAACTGTTCCAAGAGGCAGACACCCGGAACTCAGAATGTTCTTTGCAGGACAAGTTCTTTGGTGCCAGCAGTTACCTGTGCTGTAGACTCTACCTATATCATCTCAATGAATTCTCACCTCACTGCAATGAGGAGGGACTATTGATATGCCCACTTTACAGATGAGGAAACTGAGGCTCAGCGAGGTAATATAGCTAGTGTGGCAGAGTTGGGATTGGAACCAGGTCTTTGTACTGAAGGCCACTCTCTATACCTCTTCTCCATCTTTAGTTATATTGGGTAGACTAAGAACTGATGTAGTGTAGTGGTTACGAATAGGGCGGCGAACCGCAAGGTCAGCAGTTCGAAATTACCAGCTGTTCTGTGGGAGAAAGATGAGGCTTTCTGCTCCCATAAAGATTTACGGCCTCGGAAACCCTGTACAGGGTCCCTATGAGTCGGAACCAACTCCATGGCACATAACAACAAGAACTGATGAGGATTACTTGATATTTGTCATTTGGACATATTAAAAATGCACAAGGTAAGCAGCTGTGTTGTGGAACAAGCACAGAGAGACGTTCCAGATATGTCTCTGTTCATTCAGACCCCTAAAGGCTGTGGCAACCCCGGCCAGCCCCCCACCCCCTACCACCTGCCTGTGACTTACAATGATGTCCCCGCCTTTGACAAACTGCAGACGCAGCTGGAACACGATGATGTCCAGGATGTAGATGAAGTCACACAGGTAATCCATGAACAGCCAGAGGTGCACATTGTCTGGCCTCTGGTAGGGGAAGGCCCAGCGCACGGGGATCAACCAACAGTTCCAGTTCCAGGCCAAGACCACAAAGAACAGCCACAGGATGTACATCAAGTCTGCGGGGCAGGGAGTGACCAGGAGATGTTCAGTGGCAGTGGCTAGGTGGCTCCTCAAAGCGGCCAGGGGAAGGCCCTTTCCCATAAGACTACATGTTGCACTTTTGTAACCAAGAGTTGGGGCTCGGGGGGAATAACACAACTATGTTTGTTTAAGAAAATCACTGCAAGGCCCTAATAAATCAGAGTACTCTGAAAGGAGCATGGCTGAAATTTTTCCAAAAGGTGTTCTTTTGAGTTGCTGGGCTTGGAGGCTCAAGACCATAGTATTAGGAGACTCTAAGGTCAACTGACAAAACAGAGTCTACAAAAACAACGTTCTACATCCTATTTTGGTGGGTAGCACCTTGGGCCGTAAAAACTTGTGAGCAGCCACCTAAGGTACTATTGGTCTCTCCCTGTCTGGAGGAAAGAAGAGTGATAAAGATCAAAGATGCATGCAAACTATTAGTCCAATGGATTAGTGGGCCATGTAAACATTGGTCATCTAGTTGTATCCTGAAACCGGAAGAATTAGATGGCGCCTAGCTACCAACACCCAACTACTCTCAAAGGGATCAGATTCAATGGTCCTAGTAGACTGGGAAAAAATGTGAAATAAAACTCTAGGTCACAAAAGAGATCATGCTTACTAGTTGGATAGAGACTGGTGGAACTCTAAGACTATGGCTTTTGTTCACTCTTCAGGTCTGGAACTGAACATACCCCCGTGGCTCAGTTTTTAGCCAAACACTAGGCAGGTTTGTTGTTGTTGTTGTTGTTAAGTGCTGTCGAGTCGGTTCCGACCCATAGCGACCCTGTACAGGGTTTCAAGGGTGTAAATCCTTAAGGGAGTAGAAAGCCTCATCTTTCTCCGGCGGAGCGGCTGGTAGTTTCGAGCCGATGACCTTAAGGTTCACAGCCCGATTCGTAACCACTACGCTACCAGAGCTCCAGGGTGATAATAACATGCTTCAGAATCATCAACCAGTGGAGATCAAAGGGTACCATTTACCCAAGGAGAAAATAATCAGAAGGATGGGGATAAAGGAAGACTGGAAACAGGAAATAACAGAGAGGACATGGAGTAAATGATGCTAACATTGAGGGAATTGTAATGTGTATGAATTGTTGAATGCAAAACTGATGATCTGCTTTGTAAACCTTCACCAAATTCACGATTAAAAATTAATTTCTTTTTTTTGAAAAAAGGTATTCACTGGCGTAGTAAGCACAGCATAATAAAGAACGCATGATAGAACGACGGGGGGTGGGGCAGGCTTGCAGGGTATACCCTTTGGTTGGTTGATGATGCATGGAGGGGGTTGTAACCATGGCAATGAAATTATATACGATAGGATGAATGGAAAGCTAATGTTCTCCCATGTAAACTATCACATAATTCACAATAAAACATAAAAAAAAAAGAATGCATGGTAGATAGACAGATGGATGGCTGATGGACAGATAGATGGGTGGACAAGTAGAGAGATGGATGGATGAGTGATGGATACTGTAGTTCACCTGGTCATTTTGGGGCCCAGTAGACAGACAGGTGTGTGCAAAGCCCCGGGACTTAGAGCATTAAGACTGGAGTCCTGCCCCAAGAATGACTTTTCATATGACACTGGTGAAGTCCCTTTCTGGCACCTGTCCTGCCCTCCTTGGAGAAGAGACAAGGAAAAGTCAGATGAGAGAAATAGGGAGTCCTTTGGAAACTGTAAAGTGCTGTGCACATCTGAGTGGATTTATCCTAAGGAATGTGTGCTGGGCTTCAAGGGAAGTGAGAGGAATTCACTTTGGATGTTGGAAGAACGTCTGCTCTATTCTGCTCAGAGCAGGTTTTTCAGGAAGGAACCAGCCTGAGCACAGTAGAACCAAGATTGGCCAAGAGTCAGGAGACTCCAGTCGTGGGCCACTAACTAGTTGTGTCATTAGACTGGTTAACTTCTTCATCTTTAAGATGGGTGTGACTTCTGCTCCTCATTCAGGCATTTTGTTTCATTTTTAAACATCAGGTGAGGAAGCTTGGAATCACTCTGGAAAGTATAAGTGCTTGGGAGCCTTGGCCATCCCCACACCTACACACACACACACACACACACACACACACACACACACTCACTGGTCAGCGGGTCGATGCTCTGGGGAAACCGGTACTTCTTCCAAGGGCGGCGTTTGAACTTGCAGCAGAGCATCTCACAGTAGTGCTCTTCCTCTGTCTGTTTTGTATCCTCTGGTTTCACATCCGGGGCTGGCTCGGGGGCTTTCTTGGCCGGGGCTGTGGAAAGACAGTGATGAGTATCTGACCCAGCCTTGAGGCCCAGGTCAGGAATGCAGAGAGAAGGCTCCCAACTGCAGGCCTTGGAACTGGAGCTAAGGGGACCCTGGCAATGTCCCAGAATGTATGGCCAACTCTACAAGTGAAAACCAACATGTTTTCCCATCACTCTCTCTTCAAACTCTCAGTAGATACCAATCCCCAACTGCTTGTCAGGAACCTCCCCAAATGAGCTGCTTCTGAGAAAGCTGGATATTGCAGTTCAGCCTCTGCATATGTGTCTGCGTTTGAGTGCCCCTGTTTTCCTGCGGTTGAACAAGGAGCATTTTATACCTAAGGCTCCTGGATCAGAGTGTTGAAGGGTCCCAGGGCTTGTGGAAATCAGGAAAACAATGCTCCAGGTTGTTTCTCCAAAGCAAGAATACCAGCTTTCCCACCTCTAGCACACGAGACTGGATGGGATCACGGGTGCATCTGTGATGATATTTGTTGGTGTCCTAGGGATTTTGACTCTTATAGGTTTCTGACAGCTATGTTTCTAGCTTTAGGACTTGAAGTCAGGCTTTGCTTGGTCCATCATGGGGGTTAGGTGTTCCCAGGTACAGCCCTACTCTGGCAAGATCTAGCAAACCTGAAGTAAAGTAACATTTATGTGATACCATAAGAATCATGCATTTGAGGCCTCAGAAAAATAAGACTTCCTAGTTCCACAGTGGGCTGTAGACACTATCTGAGTGTGTACGACCTCGGAAAACATCATCCAAGGATGACACTGCCCACACACCAATGGAGAAAGGCAGAAAGGAAACGAGGGAACTTTCCCTGTGGCAGAGGGAGTCAAGTACAGCTGGACCATTGGTCAGAATGCCAACCTCTGTACCTCCCCTGGGTTTAGATCTACATTCAGGACCCCAAATCCAAAGCGTAGAGAACAAGAGCCTCTCATAGACCCCCAACCATGAGTTCACAAGAAGCTTTGGGGTTCCCACCCTATGTCTGGCCAAACAGGCCAGCTCCCACTCCAGACTTACAGGGCTTGGGGCTCTCCTCATCGGAAGTGACATCAGGATCAATGAGCTTCTCTTTGACCATCTCTGTCCGCTCCTTGAACAACTTCACCAACTCCTGGAGCCGGTCGTTGATGACAGCACTGTTCTGACTGGCTGTTGAGGCAGCGCGGTCCTGGCCACTGTGGGGACATCACCCAAAACGAAACGGGCTGAACCCCGGGGGAGGGTGCTAGGCAGTGTCTGTCTCCACCTGCCCTGGTTTCCTGACCCACTGCTGGCGTGGACACAGATGGGCTCGGAGTCACTGTCCACTGTGCAGAGTCTGCTCCAGGCCCACCAGAGCAGCAGGAAATCCATTTCCTCTCCTACTTATCCTGCCTGGCCTCCTGGCTCCCAGAGACCCCAGAGGCAACCCCACTTACTCTGTCCCCTGTGGGGTTGTGGGGTCTGACCAGGCGACCACAGGGGATTCTGCTGGCGACAGTCTCTTGAGCTCTTCAGCCTCATCATCTTGGGAGGGCAGTCTCTTCCTGCACAGATAGGAGTGCAAGTACCTTTATTTAGCCCAGGGCAGGGAAACGGCTTTGACCCTGGCAGGTCACCCAGATCCTCTGCTCCCAGGTGAGGACGGGGCTGCTGCCAAAGTGTCCTCCTCTGCGTGGTAGGTAAATCATCCTTACGACAAAAAGGAGGAAGAGAGGGGCACAGTCTCTGGACCTCAGTGTCCACATCTGCTCAATGGACCAGCATAAAGATGAAAAGCATTAACTTAGTATCACGCCAATATGAATTTGCATCCCACCCTTGACTCTTACCAGTATGTGACCTTGAGCAAGTTACTTAAACTCTCTGAGTCACCTCAATTTCTCCCTCTGGAAAATGGGGCTAGCTTACCAACTAAATGAGATTCTACTCAGTCAAGTCTTTGCTTTAATGTCCTTTCTCTCACCCTCACAATATAAACTTCTCTTTCCCCAGCTTGTTCTCCCCACCCTCTAGCACACTCTCTATCCCTCGAAGTTAGCCTCGAAGTAGGCCTAAAGCCTCACTGCCCCTGGCACAGAGAAAATGCCAAAGGGCATGGACCCAGGCAGCCAGTTCAAGCCCCAACCCTGCCTCACCTCAGGCAAGACCCAGTTCTCCCTGGAGCTCCAGGCTCCCTGTCTGCCGGGTGAAGACTAAATTGGCCCCAACAAGTCCAATTCTGCCACAGACAGCTGCCTGAGGTCAGCAGGTTGGAGTCTGGACAGACAGATGGCCTGGGGGTTGCCTCTGGCTCTATTTTTCTCTGATATCCAAGGGGTTAATTACTTCTCCTATTTTCCCAACCTGCTTCTCCACAGTGAGAATAAATAGCTTTACTGAGGATTGCTTAGCTGAAAAAGAGGAAGGGAAAAGATCAAATGAGAAACTTCTTATACAACCAAAGAAGCAAGATAGGGGGGAAAAAACTTGTTTAGGATAAAGTAGTAATTTGTTGATATAGAAACACAAAGGTTTTGTCTAGAAGACCCAGCCCCAGGTCATTTACCACTAGAAACATTTTGTAAGTTTATGAACTTAGTCTGGGGAGGAAAAGGTTGTTCCTTGATGACTTGTATTAACATGCATTGTTAGGTGCCATTGAGTCGGTTCTGACTTCCCTTATAGGGTTTCTGAAAAGTAGCTGGATGGTTTGAATCGCAGACCTTGTGGTTCAAACTGACCTTGTAGTCAAAGTGCTTATTCTACAGCGCCATACCAAAACTCCATAACATACATATAAAACATAAAGTAAATGCAAAGTGTTGATGTTGTTATTTTTTGGCACTGGAAGAGAAGCACAAGGTTGGCAGTTTGAATCCACCAGCCGCTCCTTGGAAACCCCATACAAGGGTTGCTGTGAGTTGGAACTGACTCAATGGCATTTAACAACAACAACAAAACATAAAATAAATGCAAAATGTTAGCATAGGAAACCAGGTCATAGCACATAAAATCAAGAGTTTGGGAACCTAGACCTGAGCGTTAGCCCAGGAAAGCAAAAACAAAAGTGTTATAGTGCAACACGATGAGCGTCAGAACAATCTACCAGGAAGATGGGAGGATAAGACATGAGAATAGTATGGTCTTACACACCAGATGGTCACCAGGGAAGTCTGCTTTGGGACCACGAATAAAGGTTGAGCCAGTAAAACCAGCTGTGTCTAGCGGACTCTAACTTGTGGACATGCCCTGTATGTTCGAGTAGAATTGTACTCAGTAGAATTTTCAATGGCTGGTTTTACAGTGATACATTGCCTGAGGCGCACCTTACAGTGAGCAGCCAAACACACTGACCATTTGGACCACCCAGGGACTCCAGTAGCACATTTGATATTAACAAGAACTCTAGTAAACAGGCGATATTTTTATCCCTATTTTATTATGGAAAAACAGCGGCCTAGGAGTGACTTATCTGAAACCCCACATCTGGTAAGCGGTGAGCTGGGATTCCCTCCAAACCACAACTTTAAGCTACAAGAAGGTCCTTGCCCTCATGCATCTCTATCAGGGCCTGCAGTTTCTGTGGTCTTTCTGCTCCCATTGGTTGACCCCAGTGCCCATTCTGCCCCTGACACAGGTCACCGCTGGCCGCTCCCATCTTTCTCAGAGCCGGGCTCAGGCAGAAGCTCCTCGGTTCTCACAGCCCTCTCTGGAACTGTCCTGTTGATTTGGCTCCACACTAACTGTCTATCTGTACTCTGCTCAAACGTCAGCTCGCAGAGAATCTCTGTTGTGCTTCTCCTTGGCGCATCCCCAGCATCAAACAGTGGATAAATGAATGACCGAATCTCAAGGACTAGAGATGCCTGGCAGGCCCAAACCATAAGTAGAGGCAGGAAGCTTGGGTTCTAGTACCTTGTGATCTTGCTTTCTTTCCCCACCCCCAGATACCCTCACCTCAGCCCAGCCTACGTAGTTTTCCAGCCCATACATACAAAGCGCACATAGTCCCCGGGGGTACAAACAGTTAACAACTTGGTTGTGCACCAAAAGGTTGGTGGTTTGAATACACCCACAGCTGCCTTGGGCCTTGGTGTGGTGATGTAGGATAAGCACTGGGCTGCTAACCACAAAACCACAAGGTCTGTAGTTCAAACCTACCAGCTGCTCACGGAAACCCTATACAGAATCACTGTGAATCAGACCCGACTCAACGACACACAGCAACAAGTCCCTTGTAAGAAAGTCCTGGCAATCTACTTCTGAAAAATCAGTCCTGGAAAACGCTATTCAGCACAGTTCTGCTCTGACACACATGGGGTCACCACAAGTCGGCATTAACTCTGCAGCAACTGGAGGAGGTAGAGCAGATGTTTACATTCATGCTGGTGCCTCCTCAAAACCTTGTGCATAGTTTAATAAACTGAACACAGCCCTGTGGCTAGCCCGATGGAGCTGAGAGCTGTGTTCCTAGTGAGGTGGTAGCTCTTATCTCCATGCTAAATCAGAGACTCCTAACTTTGTCACATTCGACCATCTCCATTCTGGTCAGCTCCTAGGTGACAGTAAAAGTGAATCAAGAAAATAAGAATCATTTCTCCGGCCAGCGAGTGCAGGAGAAGCCTTGGCAACTCCACTCGGGCTTGCACACAACATTCACAAAGCACTGAACTGCACTGTGCACTTCACAGCTGGCCTAGCTAGCTATAGGGCCTTTCCCCAGTGACCTAGCTCAAGTTGTCCCGAACTACCTTTAACCATGAGATGACAAACGGCTCTCAGGAGACATAGAAATGGTCACAACCTTGAAGAGATGAGGAGAACCTTGTTTGACAAAGGAAGGCAGGAACAGAGAGCAGAAGACCACACTCACAGTACAGTTATGGGCAGTGCCCAGCAAGGAGGGTTTGACAAATGGATCTGGCTCGTGAGCTGGTGAACTATCCCACAGCCAGCATGTTGTTGCAAAGTACCGTTAAGTTGGTTCCAACTCATAGCGACCCTGTGTAGGGTTTCCAAGGAATGGTTGGTGGATTTGAACCACTGACCATGTGGTTCAGCCTCATATAATGAGATATAAGTTAAAAAAAAAATAGAACCTCAGGTTGACTTGCTCCTTTCATTAAAACCACACAAAAACATGGACCTATAATGCACTGGACCACAAGGTAGGTTTGAACTGTAAGTCGGTGGTTCAAATTCACCAGCTGCTCCTTGGAAACCCTGTACAGGGTCACTATGAGTCAGAACCAACTCAAAGGCACTTACCAATAACATAAGCAAGGCTTAAAAGGATATGCTGAGAAATAAAAGCACCATCTAGTCAAGCAACCAAAGAAAAAATAGATAAATGGGACTTCATCAAAATTTAAAACTTCTGTTCTTCCAAGGACACTGTCAAGAAAATGGAAAGCCAACCTACAGATCGGGAGAAGATGTTTGTGAATCATGTATTTGATAAGGGACATATATGTAGACTATATAAAGAATTTTGTACAATGCAAGAAAAAGACGAAGCCCTAGTGTTTGGGATGATTTTTCTAATGCTCTTTGATTGTTCCATTATGTGATTTCATGAAAAAAAAAAAAAAAAGTGGGCAGAAATGATCCCCTTCATATTTACTGTGCCTTCTAAATGACAGCAGAGGGTTTTTAGGACAGGAATTCTTGGGAGCCCTCAGCCAGGAGTTAGTAGGATCCGAGAAGGGAACACAGTCCCACTCCTGACACCAACTCTCTGTGTAACCTAGAGCCAGCTGCTTTACTTCTCTGGCCTCAGTCTCCTCATCTGTGAAATGGACATGTATCAAGTGGTATGAAAAGCCAAGAGAAGTATAAAAGGTGACCTGTGGAAACCTGCTGCTGAGCCTGGGACCGTGAGGGTGTCTGATTTGGCAGGAGAAGGTGGCGGCAAGACAGGCGAGGGCGGCTTTTCCTCCGAGATGAGCGGGAGTTTGTCCGCATCAGCGTCTTCCACCTGCACCTCCGGATGCTCTTTGGTGGCAGGCACTTGGAGAGAGAAAGGAGAGGAGACAGTCAGAGAAGGGAAAGCCACGTCCCAGGAACTTTGCCGTACTCTTGAAGAAAGCCACAAAAAGCATGTTCGAAGAAGCTTCCAGCAGCCCTGCCTTCCAATGGGCAACTGTAAAGCTCAATGCAAGGAGTGCAAGCATTCAGCTCCAGGGCCCTCTGAGGACAACAAGCACCCAGCAACCAGCCCATGAGCCGTGGAAGAAGCCATGGTGGTATGCTCTCCAAAGCCCAGCCTGAGTTCCCTGCACTCAGAACAACATTAAGGACCAGGGACTGGGGAGCAGCGCTCACAGAGGGCATCCTCAGCCTGAGGGCCAGCAACAGGGTCCCCTTCCTAAGCCTCAGCTCCCCTGTTGCAAAGTGATACCTTCCTAGCCCTGAGACCAAGGGGCACATGGCCTCACATCTCCAACAGCCTCAGATAGAAATATTTGGATGTTTCTTCCAGTCAAAAATAGCAGACTATCAGGTCAGTTTTAGTACCTGCCTTGGCATTGCCTTGTTTTTATACATGTCAGGTGCCTACAACATTCATTAACCCAGCTCCTCCTAGACTTCTGAGAGGTCTGGTGCTGCGTCCCTTGTCCCAAGTGGGAAGCTTGGGTGTGGTTCCTGCCTTGGGCTTCATTACCCTCCCAGATCTGTCCCAAGGTCAAGCTCAGAAAAAGCTGAGGGGCCGGGATGGATTCCCATCCCACTCCCCATCACACCTGGGCAGACCCACCCAACAGCAGCTAGCCACAGGCCTTGGGCACCAGCAAAGCAGAGGTTGTAGTTGTTGTTAGTGATGTCGAGTCAGTTCCTACTCATAGTAACCCTTCACACAACAGAACGAAACACTGTCCGGTCCTGACCATCCTCACAATTGTTGTGTTTGAGCCCATTGTTGCTGCCACTGTGTCAATCCATAATGTTGGGGGCCTTCCTCTTTTTCACTGACCCTCCACTTTACCAAGCATGATGTCCTTCTCCAGGGACTGGTCCCTCCTGATAACATAACCAAAGTATGAGAGACAAAGTCTTGCCATCTTCGATTCTAAGGAGCATTCTTCTGTACTTTTTCTAAAACGAATTTGTTTGTTCTTCTAGCAGCCCATGGTACTTACAGTATGCTTCATCAACACCATAATTCAAATGCATCGATTCTTCAATGATCTTCCTTATACATTATCAAATTTTCACATGCATGACTTAGGCCAGGCACACATTAGTTCTCAAAGTGACATCTTTGTCCTTTAACACTTTAAGGAGGTCCTATGCAAAATATTTGTCTAATGCACTACGTTGATTGATTTCTTGACTGCTGCTTCCATGACTGTTGATGGTGGATCCAAGCAAAATGAAGTCTCTGATGTTAATCTTTTCTCTGCTTATTATGTAATTCATTAGTCCAGCTGTGAGGAATTTTGTTTTCTTTACATTGAGTTGCAATCCATACTGAAAGCTGGAGTCTTTGATCTTCATCAGTATTTCAAGTCCTCTTTGCTTCCAGCAAGCAAGATTGTGTCATCTGCATATTGCAGGCCGTTAACAAGTCTTTCTCCAACCATGATACCCTTCTTTACATGATTCTACTTCTCAGGGATTAGTTGCTCAGCATACAAAGTGAATAAGTATGGTGTAAGGATACAATCCTGATGCACACCTCTCCTGATATTAAATAAACAAGCATCCCCTTGTCTATTGAACAACTAACTGCCTCTTGGTCTACATACAGATTCCTCATGAACACAATTAAGTATCCTGGAATTGCCATTCTTCATAATGTTATCCATAGTTTGTTATAACCCACACAGCTGAAAGTTTTTGCATAGTCAATAAGGCACAACTGGTATTCTTTACTTTCAGCCGAGATCCATTAGACGTCAGCAATGACTTGCCTAGTTCCACTTCCTCTTCTGCTTTTCGGCAGATCCCTGTGGATGTTGAAACTGTTTTTAAATTACCTGCAGAAAAACGTTACTTGCTTGTGATATTAACGGCAGGGTTTGTTGTTGTTAAATGCTGTCGAGTCAGTTCCAACTCATAGCGACCCTGTATAGGGTTTCTGAGGAGCAGCTGGTGGGTTTGAACTGCCGATCTTGTGATTCTCAGTCGAGTGCTGATCCTACAGCGACGCACCAGGAGTCCTGACGCATAGCCTCCAAAGTGGGGGAGGGGATTTTAAAATAACTGGGCAGGAGATGTTGTTGTTGTAAAGTGCCGTTGAGTCAGTTCTGATCCATAGTGACCCTGTATAAGGTTCCCGAGGAGCAGCTGGTGAGCTTGAACTGCTGACCTTACCGTTCAAGTAACCTTGCAGTCCAGTGTCTTAGCCCACAGAGCCACACTAGGACTCTGGCATGACATAGATATGGATGCATTTTTTAAACTCATTGAAATGGTCAGCAGGGGAAAATCCTGTGCAGTTTGCAGAGGTGCTTCTCTTTCTTTCACAGTTCCAGGGAAGGAATAGGAGGAGGCCTTGAGGCTTTTGTCTGACTAAAGCCCTAAGCCCTCAGAGGAAGAGCAAGAGCAGGCACTGAGGATCTTTTCTTAAATTTAAGGGAGAAGGACTACCCAAACAAACAAGAAACTCACTCCCCAGGCTGTGGGAAGGAGAGACAGGGAGGGGCCCCAAAGGCCTTGACAGCTGAGCTGGGGGTGGGGGTGGGGCGGTGTAGAGGTGGCTAGGGCAAAGGTTGTTGTTGTTAAGTGCCGGGGAGTCGATTCTGACCCATAGCGACCCTGTATAGGGTTTCCAAGGAGCAGCTGGTGAGCTTGAGTTACTGTTGTTACAGTTCAAATGACTTTGCAATCTGATGTATTAGCCCATAGCACCACCCCAGGACTCCAAAGCAAAGACAGAGATGGAGGACAGAAGTGTGTAAGGCTGATGGTGGTGGTTATGTGCTGTGGAATCAGTTCCTACTCTTAGTGACCCTGTAGAGGGTTTCCGAGGCTATAAAACTTTACAGGAGCAGAAAGCCTCCCATAGAACAGCTGGTAGTTTTGAACTGCTGACCCTGAGGTTAGCAGCCCAATTCATAACCACTATGCTACCAGAGCAAAGGTCGTTGTTGTTGTTGTTAGGTGCCATCGAGTCGGTACTGACTCAGAGTAACCCTATGCACAACAGAACAAAACAATGCCCGGTCCTGGGCCAACTTCATAATTGTTGCCACGCTTGAGCCCATTGATGCTGCCATTTTGCCAATCCATCTCATTGAGGGTCTTCCTCTATTTCTCTGATCCTCCACCTTACGAAACATGATATCCTTCTCCAATGACTGGGCCCTCCTGATAATATGTCTGAAGTATGAGAGTCGAGGTTTGGCCATTCTGGCCTCCAAGGAGCACTCTGGCTGCACTTCTTCCAACACAAACAAAAGAGTTAAGGTAGAACTTTACAAATGCTTAGAACCCCAGTGTGTTCCCTCACCACTGGCTTTAAGCAGCCAGGAGGACATCTCAGGGAGTCCGGGAGTGCAGATAACTTGTCCTGGGTCAAACCTGACAGCTTGGATTACCCCCAGGAGAGGAAAGAAAACTTCCAAGATTGATAATCTCTTTTCCCACCAGCTTGGCAGAGTGGAAACTCAAAGTAGAAATGATACTGGTTTATATTATATTGAATTAGAGAATAATATTGTTTAAAGCATGGGAGAATGATGAGACTTTCTGATTCTGCAAAGCTTTAAAGCCTTGGAAACCTTATACAGGGTCACTATGAGTCAGAACCGACTGGATAGCACTTAACAACAATTGTTAGATATATGAAGAGTAATATTGTATGTATTAAATTGATTTAGAAAACAATCATATTTACTGTTAAGCACTTCCTATGTGTCTGCCAGACATTTGTTTCACTAAACACTAACTACTTTATACACAGACATGGATGAGTCAAGAAGTACTCAAAAGTACTGACTGGCTTACCAACACAACAACAACAAGGACGTTAAGAAATTACTCAGAGAACTTGTCTTCTGCAGCCATCCATTGATCGCAGAGATTTGTTTAAACACATTTTGTTGGGAATCAACCTATGCATGTAGCAATCTTTGGACTTATCCTCTCTTTACTTATACAATAAAATATGGAAACGTTGGAACCTGTGTCGGCAGAAACCTGCCAGAAAAGGAAAATGCAAATATTCTCCACTAATAGAGAAGGCAGAACAGCATCAAAGGCAGTAAAAACTTGCAAGACCCAGCAAAACCAGGTCATCTGGTCGAGTTCCGGCCCTCACAAATGTCAAGGTGTTAATTCTCTTCACCTTCCCAGCAGTTCTATGAGGTAACTGAGATTGCTGTCAGCATTTCGTAGAGAAGAAAACTGATTCACAGAGAGGTTAAGAAATTTGCTGCAGAGCCAGGACGTAGAGAAGACAACTGATTCACAGAGAGGTTAAGGAATTTGCTGCAGAGCCAGGACGTAGAGAAGACAACTGATTCACAGAGAGGTTAAGGAATTTGCTGCAGAGCCAGGACGCAGTCCCAGGCAGCCTGGTTCCAGAGTGTATGCTCTTCTTCACCACGCCCCACAGATGTCCCACTGAGGTGGGTTCCCAGCAAAGGCAGAACCCCTATGAAAGGAAGCCTCCACTCAGGAGGTGTCACGCAGAGCACTGAGGGATGACAAAGGTTCTTACTCTGTGTTACCGTGGCCTGTGTGTCAGACCTAAAGTCACCATGTGTTATAATAAAGTCAAAGCAGATCAGTGTTCCACCATGTCACTAGGGACGTGCCCCTGAGTGCAGAGTTCCCATATACCAGGAAGGACACAAAATGATTTCAGATAGTAGAGACAAGGCCAAAGAGAACACGCATTCTTGCCATTTCAAGTCTGCCTCAGGTTAGTAGAAGCCGCAGGTGACTATGACTCCGTCCTTAACTTCTCCCTGCCTCATCTTAATTCTCCTTTTTGGCTAGGAAAGCAGGCTTCAGCATCAAGCCTTCAGCCGGAGTGTTTCATTAGAAATGATCAACAATAA